GGAGGAAGAGGCATTAATGGGACAACATTTCATCTGTCAGTCAGCCCCAAATATTTGGCATAATCTACAAAAACTTCAGATAGAGCCACTCAATTGCTGGCTTTTTCTGTATTCAACAGCTGGGAACTAGAAGAGGGACAAAAGACAAAGGCTAAGACTATAGCTGCCACAATTGGCAATGCTTTAAACCCACCAAGTCTTCTAGGGAAAAAAAACAGGGTCAGCCAAAGGAAGTGTTGAAGTGCAAGACTGGACACAGGGCACGAGATTGCATCAAGCCTCTGCCTGGGCCCTGATCCATATGTGAGGCAGGTAATGCGACTGACTCACAGCACTGCAGGTTTGACTATCCATGCTCCCAGAGAGGGGCTACACCAGCCAGAATCCTCATTTCCAGCTCTGACCGAAAAGGCCCAGAGAACCTGCAATGCCCTTGTTCATGGACATCATCTCCTCCAAGGATCCCTGGGTATACTGAGATGTCATGAATAAGCCAATTCAACTGCTTATGGATAGAAGGGCAGCTCATTCTGTTTTGTTTCCCTTCTCTGGAAAACTCTCTTCTAGGTCTATAGCCATATTTGGGGTTGATGGGACCCCCTAGGCAGACATTCTTTATTCCTGATCTGAAGTGTCACTTTGAAGGCCAAATGCTTAATCATGAGTTTCTAACTGTCCCACAATGCCCTGCTCCCTTGCTAGGAAAAGATTTACTAGCTAAACTGGGAGTAATTCTCAAATTCTGGCTAAGGCCAAAATGGATTTTACTTGTTGAGACTACACCAGGTCTCCTTGACAAAATTAGGCAACAAGTAATGAGATACCTGGTAGGGCAAATTCAGCTATGCCAGTAGCTACAAGACTAAAAGACCCTGGCTGGTTTCCTAATTGAAAACAATATCCAATCAAAGAAGAGACATATAAAGGTCTCCAGCATCTCTTAGATAAGTTTCTCAAATATGGCCTTCTAAGGTCCTGTCAGTCCCCTTGTAATATTCCCATTCCTGTAGCAAAGTCCTCAGGAGAATATCAGATGGTACAAGACCTCCGCCTCACTAATGAGGCTGTCATTCCAATCCATTCTCTAGTGACAGATCCATATAAAATTCTCTCTCAAATTCCAAGGGACACAAACTGGTTCTCAGTTTTAGATTTAAAAAATGCATTTTCTCCATCTTCCTACATCCAGACTCCCAATTTCTGCTTACCTCTGAAAGGGAAAATCCTATTTAAAGAGAAAACCAGCAATATACTTGGATAGTTCTCTCACAAGGGTTTAAAGACAGTTCTCACCTTTTTGCTTGGGCACTACAGAAAGACTTGAGGTACTTAAAGCTTAAACAAGGAACCATCCTATGTATGTAGGTAATAATCTAGTTTGAAGACCCAATCAGAAATTATCTAACTGTAATAAAACACTGTACAGAGGAGAACTTTCTAGCTAAGAAGGAATATAAAGACTCCTAAGAAAAAGGCTCAGCTATCCCTCAAAAATTTCAATACCCAGGATATATTCTTATACCTATGGAATAACAGCTGTCTAGGGACTGGATCCAGGCTATGGTCTTGGGCCTCTTGCCACCAAACAACAATGTTCATTTCTGGGGATGGCTGACTTTTAAGCATGGCCTTATTCAGACTCAAGTACTGAGAATACCTGACAAGAAAACCTTTGTCTTGCCAGGGACTTAGCTTAGTGGTTCCGCCTCCTGCCTCGCAAGCACAAGGACCCGAGTTCGATCCTGAGTACCAAAAAACAAACAACAAAACAAAACAAAAACCTTTCTTTCTCTCCATATCAGAAAGGGAAAGAACTGCTTTTGGGGTCATGACTCAAAAGCTAGGTCAAGAACCTTACCCAGTGGAATACTTTTCAAAGAAATTAAATGGAGTGGCTGTTATATGGCCACCTTGCCTGAGAGCAATAGCAGCTACAGATGTACTAACCGAACAAACTACAATTGTTGGGACAGATACTAGCAGTCCTGACACCCCATTAGGTCAGAACATTCTGGAGACAAAAGGTTACTTGTAGTCAAGAGGGGAAAGGATCGCTAAGTATCTTAGATACTCCTGAGATTATTACAAAAACTTGCATTACTATTAACTCTGCTTCTTTGATGCCTGCAGGCCCAGAAGTTATACACTCTTGTGAAGAGGTCATCTCTCAGGCATATGGCAAGTAGGCAGGGCATTAGTGATCTGCCCCTCCAAGACCCTAAAAAGGTGTGGTTTACTGATGGAAATAGCTTTGTTCAAGGACACTGAAAGTCAGGTTATACAGTTGTCAGCTCATAAAAAATCACTGAAGAGGTTCCTTCCTTCAGGAACCTGTGCTCTGAAGGTAGAGCTAAAAGCTCTTACTCAAGCATTGATATTGGGAAAAGGCAAGGGCCAGGGATTTAGCTCAGCGGTTCGGTGGCCTGCCTTGCAAGTGCAAGGACCCAAATTCAATCCCCGGTACATAAATACATAAATACATAAAGGCATGAAGACATAAATAAATAAAATATATTGGGAAAAGGCAGAAGGTTAAACATTTATACAGATTCCAAATATGACTTTCTGATACTACATGCCCATGCAGCCATCTAGAAGGAAAGAGGCTCACTGACAAATAAACAATCATCTATCAAGCACAGGCAGAAAATTCAGTAACTCCTAAAGGCAGTCCATCTTCCTAAGCAGGTGGCAGTCATGCATAGTAAAGCATACAAAACAGACAAGTCTGAAGTCTCCTTGGGAAATCAAAAGGTTGATAGGGAAGGCAGCCCTACACCCCTTAAGAATAAAATAACCTGGGGCTGGGGATTTAGCTCAATGGCACCGCACCTGCCTCATAAGCGCAAGGTCTTGAGTTTGATCCCCAGTACTGGGAGGTGTGGGGTGGGAGGTGTGGGAAGGATAACCCAAAAGGTAAAAAGCTATTCCTGTAGGCCTCTGGAAGACTTGAGATTCCTCTTCAAAAAGAAAACACCAGGGGCCAGGGATTTAGCTCAGTGGTTCTGCCACCTGCCTTGCAGGTGCAAGGTACAGAGTTCGATCCTTGGTACAGGAAAAAAAGAAAAAGAAAACACCAACACTGCTCCAAGGAATGTGGGAGTCTGACCTGCTCCTCACATTTGGGCTAGTAATGGTCAATTGTTATTAACACTTTTCTCATTTCCTGACAAGTTTTCCTTTATTCAAAGCAGCCAGTGAGCCCCAGCACCCCACAGTAGTTGGAGTGCACATCCTCAGTAGGTAGTCTACAGACTAGGTGGGAATGTGACTGACATAGATACATACAATCTTCTGATCAGTATAAAATCTTATTTTTTAATGAACAACTAAATTCATTTAAAACAAAATATTTTTCAAAATCAAGTTGAAAGTTTTTAGTGATTAATGTACCATGGTTAATTTTATACATTTTCCCAAATGCTTACTTATCTGATACTATCACAATCATGAGATACATCTATAATACTTAGAAATACCAGGAAGCCAATCTTTTATAGGTAACTAAAACATTCACTTTTTAGCATTCACTTCTTAAAGGATGGAATTAAGTTGATCTTGAGCATGTGAAGTTTCCCCAACCATATAATTAAATTTAAGAAGAGGATGGACCTCTCCAAGTTGAATTATATAAAATAATGTTTATGCCAAAAAGAAAACAAATAGAATTATATGTTAAACTACAACAGCAATAGCATTCAAAGTTCTAGACATTAAAATAAATGGAAATGTACTATTTCTAGCACAGTTACCTCTCAACACACAAAAGCAAAAGACAAAACTTACTTTTTGTATAATGATTATGGTAAGAATTCTGTGATTTAACAGCTTATACTGTATTAAAGAGAAAACATCTCACTTAGAAGGAAACCGAATATTTTTTAAGCTCCTCATCTAGTACTCTTTATCTAGTACAGTTCAGCTGAAAACTAATATGCAAACATCTATAGATGAACAGAAATGTTCAAGAAGTACATCAGAGATGAAGTAATTCATAAGGAACTAACAATGTTAGCTGGCTTCATGCCTAACTATATTTAATTCTATATTATGAAATTTGCCACAAAAACCATATTTAAAAATTTTATGAGGTTCTAATGCTAAAATTCCACGTGAGCTACTTTTCCCAGTTCTTCTTCGTCTAAGTAATATATCAAACAAAAAATACTACTTCTCCAATTTCATTATGCGTATGCAACCTGCCAACATAAGCGCAGTTAAACTCCACACCTTTCCCAATAAATATCATTAAAACAATCTGGTTGTAACATTTCTAAGCTGTTTGACTGCCTGTTTTAGGAATGCTGGCAGTCTGATCATAATAGGTGCTGTTTACTAACACAGTTCTAGCATTATTTTCTCTTTTTTTTTCTAGCATTATTTTCATAAGATATGAATGATGTAGAAGAAATTAAAAAATAAAGGACAATTTCTTAAAAACTGTGTTACAGATCCTCAAGTAAAATTACATAAAAGCTATTCAAAGACAGAAAGCCTGCTGGCATTAAGTTAAAAACATAGATATGGTCACACTATTTCTTAGTACTTCTACTGCTCCCCTTGGTCTGAGCCACCAAAACCACCCCGCTTTGGAGAACAGCAATCATTTCCCCAGGAACTCTGTTTAATAGGTCTCCTGTAAATACCTCTAAATGATACTTTGTAACATTTACCTCCTTCCCAAAATTCTGACCTACCTTTTCATATTCAACAGTACTTAACTATCTTTTAACATACAATAAAATCTATTCGCATTTTGTTGTCTGGTTTACCTTAGCAGTGTCTAAATTCCATAGGACAGCAATGTTTGTTTTGTTCTTTAATGTACTCTATACCCAGACCAAGATATGTGATCAGAATTTGAAGAGTAAATAAAAGTATGTTTCAGTTTATGAAAAAAAAAAAATGACCAGGTTATACAGTAAACAGTTAATTATGTTTGAGAAACATTATGTCAAGAATATTCACAATTTACTTTTGTTACACAGAGGTTACCATACCAGATAAAATAAGCAGTTCAATGATTTCTGCATCTCCAAGATAGGCGGCAGCATGTAATGGGGTTCTCTTTTCATTGTCCTATGTTAAGAAAGAAAGATGGAACATCAGTTTTAAAGTAAGGTTAGTTTTAATACAATTTAAGTGAAAAATCATTTAACTATCAATTGATTATTTCTACAACTCTAGTCTAGTCTACAAGTCCCATTAAGAAAATACAGGTATTTCCTTGCTAAGAGAAGAAAGGCTGTAAACAAATTCTGCCTTTAAAACAGAGGTTAACCTTAACTATTTAGAATATCTGAAGTACTAAAGGTGCCAAGTATCAAAGTTTTTGAGGACAAAATACCACAGTGGAAAATGTCAAATAAAGCTTTGTTTCATGCACAAATTATAAACACTGCAAAAAATGACCTCCATATTTTGTGTATAAGGCAGCGATGACAAAATTTTTAGAGCTTTCAGTAACAAATAGCTGGTAGCACAGTTGCCAGAGGCTTGTTACCACTGGGATACATGAAACATAAAAATGTTTAGACTTGGGTCCCTCCCAAAATATATCTCATTATGTATATGCAAATATTCCAAAATCTGAAACCTCCAGTCTCAAGCATCTTGGGTAAGAGATACTTAACCTGCACAAAGTACATCAAAGAGTAAAATAAAAATCTAGGTGACAAATAAATAGATACAAACTTTTTTAAAATAAAGAAAGAAACCTATATTGCTGATATACAGGGGCAAATTTCTTTTGCAAACTGCTCTTTTCATTTTGCCAACATTATTTCCCCAATTTTATACAGTTTAGAACTGTTGACTTAGTTTTATAAAACAAGCTTAACCAAAACATTTGCTTATTAAAATGTTTCCATAAGAGCACTCACAATGGCACAAAATGAAATATGTCTCTGGGTATTTGAAATTATCCTTTAAAGCAATCTTAAGGTTTTTCTTAATGTTCTTGCCAGTTTAATAGCTTTCATACCCAAAATATGTACGTTTTAATAAAATACATATTCTTCTAAAACTTCCTCCAGGAAAAGTAGCTGTATTTCCTGGACAGCTTCATGGACCTCTTCCCCTAAAGCAGCGTTCTCCACTTGCAGAAGCAAAGTTTTAAAGTAACAACACATTCAGGAATTTTAAACTAATACATTCCTTCTAACATTACACAGGGGTATTATTCAATTGGGTGCATTTGAAAAACTATTCACTTAGAAATATTTATTTAAAATTTACATCCAAAGTTTTGGATGAAAGCTTTTCTGTCTATTTAGTAGCTGTCTTCTATGATGTTCCTCTCCCCTTTGTCTACAGAAATAAAGTTTAACCACTCACTTAGTCATAGAGCAAGAGAGTATATTTCTAGCCTACTAAAAAGTTATGTTATTTACTTATAATTAGTGTGGACCAATGGCAGAAGTTAATGGGCATAACTTCCAGATCACACCCTAGAGCTAGATTAATATTTTCACACTTCCCACAGGATGGAAGGAAAATGTGAATTGAGATGTGAAATCGACATTGTAGATGTGGGCCAAAAGACCAGAAGACTGCCAAGAAACAAAATTCTAAATAATGAATAGAGCTGCCCCTCCACCAGATTGGACCATTGACATTCAGACTATTAGAGAGACATAATTTTATTACAGCAGACATTTTATTGGGGGTTTCCACCATTTTAGAACATTATTACAGCTTTTCAGATTTAAGATGATGAAAAACTTACTTCATTTTATAATAATTTTCTAATTTGATAATCTTTCAATTATTCTAAGAAAAGCTAGACGGTCTACTGAGAATTAGGAAAAAAAAAAAAGAGGGCACACATTATACCCACCCAAAAAAAGAGGTTTAGCTATCTACAGATGTATCTAGAAATATTACAAGGGAGGTTGATATAGTGGGATTAATGTTAAGTTGTTTAATAAGCTAAGAGTTTTTGTCTCTACAGTTAATTTTTACAAAGTCGTATTTTTCATTCCAACAGAATGCACAAGACAGAAATTACTCAACTAACAGTTGTTTAAAAAAGTGAACACAGAAACATCCAGTTAACATTACATTATCAAGGATCTATCCCCCTGCCCCTTCTTGGATTGAGCCCAGAGCCTTTACTCTTGAGTTATAGCCTCAGCCTCTTTTTATTTTGAAACAGGGTCTCACTAAATCCCTTAGTGTTTCTTTTGTTTTGGTTTTGGTTTTTTGAGATAGGGTCTGGCTTTGTAGTTCAGGCTGGCCCTGAACTCACTATGCAGTCCAGGCAGGCCTCGAACTTGTGGTGATCCTCTGGGATTACAGGCATGCACCACTATGCCTGGCACTATGTCACTTAGTTAACCAGGCTGGCCTCTAACTCTTGATTCGGCCTTCCACAGTATGGGGATTACAAACATGTACTACTAAGCTTGGAGTAGTCATCTAAAGGGGGGGGGGTTCTGCCTTTGTTTTTCAGTGTTACTAATTAACACAGCAAACTAATGTTCAAATAAGATTAGATTTCCTCAATTTGAGAAACGTGTCTGTTGCACAGAACAAACCACACAGTATAACAGCATTATAAAGTGAGTCATTTGTGTGAATGAGATGTCAGAATTCTATAATTCATGAACATACTTCTTGCTCTCTGTAACTGAAGAAAAAAGAGGAACTAGTTAATTTTTTCACAGAAAAAAATTTAGAGGCCATACCTTACTAGTTAAATACTAAAAACTACATGATAAAATATTTAAGATTCCTTTTTGCAAAATGTATTAAAAAAACTATTATTCCTTTATATGATGTAATTCCATCATATAAAATAGATTCCTACATGTATGCAAAATATATTATTTTATATATAAGAATATATATTGAAACACTGCGAAGCAAAACGATTAAAACAATTTAGATGCTTCTCATTGGTTATCTAAAATTATGTAACCCAAAAAGGTCTAATTCAACTGTTACTTCACAAACTCACATGACTAACCAGCATTCTTGGTTTCCTGAGTACAATAAATGGAGATTTTGGCACACTGAATATTTTAACAAGCAATTCACCACTAACAAACCCACTAACAAGCATTTTTGTTCACACCAGGGGTATGTGTTCATCAATGTTAAGATGTGCTTGTTATCTCAACAGTTTGTGCTAATTATGTGATTGTGGCTAAGACGGTTGAAACACTAAAGCAAATAGTAAAATCTTAGGGGTTTTGCCCCAAAATAGTTTTTTATTTTGACTGATGGATTGTAGTAGGTAGTGGGGACTGAACCCAGAACTTTGACACATGCTAGGCAAGCTGTCTAATACTAAGACACATCCTAAGCCTTTTTAAAATTGTTAATTTCAAGACAGGATCTCACTAAGTTTCCTAGACTGGACTCAAATCTGTGATCTTCCCTCCTCTGCCTCCTGAACAGCTGGGATTACAGGTCTGCATCACCACATCCAGCTCTAAAATGATTTCTTAATAGTCTGTTTTCTCAAATCATTGAAAGAAATTCACAATAGAAGGTACAGATAATGAATGCATTACCGATATGCTCTAAGGCAACACCAAACAATGGTCTTTATGATGAATGAAAATGTCTCGGCACAATTTTTGTGTTATTAGTATATGTTTGTAGAACATAATGTTTATATTCCTTGTGAAGTGTTGGTACATGTGATTACATAATACACCTTAACTCCTTTTTCATCCCTCTTCCCTGACCCCCTCATCTCTTGATCCCCTTCCCTTTTTTGGGTATTTCTTTGCAGTACATAATAGTTACATTCCTTGTGTGAAATTAGTACATGTATGTAACACATATTAACTCCTTTTTAAATTCCATTTCCCTCCCTCCCTCCTTCCTCCATCTCTTGATCACCTTCCCATTTGGCAAAGATCTATTCCTCTACTTCCTATTCTCTGCCTTTTACTTTGGTCTTTATTTATACTTTGGGTTTTTCATATAAGAGAAACTATGCAATATTTAAGCTTGTGTGTCTGGTTTATTTCACTATGGCTTCAAGGTGCATCCACTTCCCTACAAATGACCATGTTTTTATTTTTTTTATGGCTTTGGCTCAATAATAAAAAAGAACAAATCAGCTGGCGAATAGACACTGTTATACTAAAAAGGGTAGAGATCAATTTTCATGATTCCTAGCTAGTGCTTATTTATATATGAGAGGACTGCCAGTTGTACACCCATACAACAAAATAGTGTGCTTCCAATTTAAAATAAGATGCAAACTTCAATGGTCCTTTACCAATGGAACAATGCCTAATGCAGGGATTAGGGAAAGAGCTACCTTTAAGTGAAAGATCTATCTTTAGAGCCACTATTTACAAAAATATTCTACAGATGCTTACATCTGAATATGTATTAAGTCTCTTGAATAAAATTCAAAAAATAAATATGGTGACTGGGGGAAAAAGCTGGTCAATTAGAGTCTGAAGTATGAAAGTTATCCTGTACTGTTTGGAGTTCTTACCATGTATACATTTCAAAAAGGAAAAACAGGGATGGCAAGACAGCTGAATAGAGTTGTCTACTGTTCATCTCCTCCCAAGCCCTCACCCCGCTGAAACAGATTACAATAAACAAGTATTCTGACTGGAGTGATTGAGAAAGTACAATGCAGAGTAGTAGGGAAATACTGTATAAAGCATGAAAACCCAAAACAGAACTACAGAAAGCTAAATGAAGTATCCTATCTCTGCAAAATTATCTCCTCTGCCAAAATCAGCTGGGAGTGAAGATTCACTTCTTATGGGTGAATGGTAAGTTGAAGACCCTGAGACCCCAATGCCAATGCAGTCCTGTAGCCCTCCCAGACCCTGAACAAACTGGAGAATTGCCTGCAGTTCTTGAGCCTGTATTATCTCAGAGTAGGAGCCTATTTTGCACATCCCCTACCACTGCGATAAGCTGCTCTGGTTTGGTTCCATCTTGAAACTGGACCTGCTGGTAGGGTATGTCCCACCCTGGGGGCTAGGAGCCAGAGACTGTCATCATTCCAACATGATCATATGGGTGGCTGTGGCACCATAATCCTAGCTGCTTAGATCCAAGGTTGGCAAAAGAGTTGAGACTCTAGCTTCCAACCC